CAGGATCATTAGACTGCCAATAGCATCAAGGCGAATCGAGAGCCATCTCTGGTTGGAGAACGTCAGGAAATATGCACCATTCATTGAGTCGATGCTTTCATGCAGATTCCGCTGGAAGTACCCTTCCATTTTATACGCTTGGATGCTTGCGACACCGGTGATGGCCTCGCCAAAACGTGAAAACACCGTCGAGCGAAGTACTGAATCATGCCGCTTCAGATTTCGCGCAGAAGCTCTATAGTAGGCCGCTGCGAGTAAGAACAAGAGGAACAGGGGACCTAATGCAATAGCAAACTGGCCACGGTGGTTAGCAACTTCACTTCACGAATCTCAGCCTGTGGTACTCACATAATGATAAAATGCGATGATCAACCCCATCGTAGCAAGGATTTGAGTGAAAGTAAAGGCAAACATGCGAATAGATTCGCCAAGTTCACTGTCCATCACCTGGACATCCCTAGAAAACCGATTTGTGATCCGTCCTAACGGGGTTGTATCAAAGAAGGCCATCGGGGCTCGCAAGACTCGGTACATTGCGCGGTGCAGCATCGTCTTGCTAGAGACCGCTGCGGCAATGGTTACATGTAGTGCGAAGCCGTACAGGGCCAAAGCCTGTGCTGTACAGATGGCCGCATATATTCCCATATACTGGCCAGCGGTCAGGTTTGGAAACTTGTCGGACGTCCAATAAGAGACCCACAGGCCGGTCATAACTAGACCACCGTTGAGACAGGCTAACAGCACGAGAAAAGCAATGAAGTTGAGGAAGAAAGATCCAGAGGCGGTGATATAAGCTTTCCAGACTGGCCACCCAACTGACCCCGTCGCTACCTCTTCCTTTGACATCAACGCGGCTGCTGGTTTAGCCTTGTCAATCTGGTCTTTCGCTGGTTCGGCTTCGTCAGACTTTTCCTCGACATCATCATCCGACTGCTTTTCCTGTTGCGAAGTGCTGGACATCAATTCCCTGAAGTGTTCATTTGTTCGTACAAGATCGTCAAAGGTACCAATAGCGTCAATACGGCCTTCTTTCATCACAATAATTCGGTCACACCGGCTAAGGACATGAAGCTGGTGGGTTGCCAAGACACGGCATTTATCCTTGAGAAGACCGCAGATTGCTTTGTCCATGATATGTCGTCCGACATGGGCATCAACGGCTGAAAGAGGGTCATCCATGAGAACGATATCTGCTTTGGAGTAGACCGCTCTGGCGATATTGATTCGCTGCTTTTGGCCTCCAGAGACCGTGATGCCTCGTTCCCCAATCTCCGTCTGATCCCCGTTTGGGAAAATATCTAGATCGGCTCGTAGAGCGCATGCATCAATTACGCGGTCGTAAAATTCTTCGTCGTAATCACTTCCAAAGAGGATATTCTCTCGCACTGACACATTCTGGATCCAGGCGTACTGCGGGCAGAACGATCGAGTTGCACCCATTCGGACTTTACCCTCCGTCAAGCGCATATCACCCGCCAAAGCCCCGAGCAACGAGCTTTTGCCACTGCCAACTGTTCCTATTACGGCAAGAAGTTCATCCCTTCCCACTTCGAAGTTGATATCGGTGAGCTTGAACGGCGCAAGCTCAGTGGTATCACTGTTGTCGTCGGGCGGGCTGCTAGGCGTTGCGTCTTTCGGCGAGACCTGGCTATGTTTCGGCTTCTCTTCCTTCTTCTCCTCTCCCTTGTTGCTCTGCACTTGTTCCCAGGTAAATGACGCATGCTCGACCTCAATAGCCTTGTCCATGCCTGTGTCCCATTCGACTGGGTCAGACTTTTCCTCGGCCTGAAGGAACTCCTGGATTCGGTTCATAGCAGTCCAGGCATCGGTCATCTGTGTGATAGTCAGGTTGAGCATGATGAGTGGCATGCGAAGCACATTGAACAATGCCAAGGACGCAAAAATGCGATCCGGGGACATGCCATGATCCGACAGAGCGTATGTGACAAAAGACAGCAATGATGCGAATGTTGGTAAAGAAACCATGCACACCACAACAGCGTGTCGGACAAACAAGAGCCGTTTGATGGAGCCGATCTCGCGATTGCGAACGGCCTCGAGTCGCTTTAGGAAGCTGCTTTCCCAGCCAAAGAACTTCACGAACCTCACACTATACAATATTTCTCTGGTCAAAGTGACTCGCTGATCGGTGATTTTATTGATGGCCCTCCGAAATTGCACCAGGAGGCGCATTGCCCATGCCAGAGCAAATACTCCGACAACCAGGAGGGCGTACCCGGCAAGTGCACTGTAGCCGATGTTGACAATCAGGATGATCAGAGCGACGATAAGACCGATGGGTGCAACCCAAAGCATATGAAGCATGCCGGAAGCCGTATCGATACGATCCACATCCACGCCCAACAACGTCGTGATACGTCCATTACTCCAGCCGGCAGTCTCCTTCGCCGCATCGTTTGCTGCTGCTCTAGATGGACTTTCTTCGGCAGGTTTCTGTCCCGTGTCATCGGTCTGCTTCCCGCCAGCTCTCGCACGGTTCGACAGCCTCATCGCTTTGGCGAAGATTTGAGATGTAAGGCCCGCTTTGGCCATTCCTCCGACAACCATCCCTCGATACAACGCCTGGTTCATAGTCAAACTCTGCAGCACTTGCATGGCATAAAGGCCAAAGGCGTAGCCCAAGCCTGGTCCAATATGGGGCCCAGGTATTCCGCGAATATGGGCTGCGTATGCTTCGGTCGAGAAAGTGATAAGGTGCCTGACCACGTATGGCGATAGAATCATGCACATCATGCCAACAAGCTGGCATATACCACCAACCACAAGATCATGTCTTAGGGTGTCGATAAGAGCCCGCGCCAGAGGTCTCTTGCTCCCTTGCTCGATTCGTTTCTTGAAAGCCAGTGCAAGCTTGTCCGACAAGGTATCCACTGCTCTATCCGGGTTGACGGTCCATATATCCTTGGGTTCCAATGGTCGGAGATAACCCACCTATTCGATTCTGTAAACATCCTGACTTTCTGGGTTTCGAGATTCTGAACTAACCTTCATAAAGGGGGTCATCCACTCAAAGAAGATGCGACTAAGGATATTCGCCCCATATTCCCGAGTCACTTGTCTCTCACTGGGAACAGGAGGTACCTTTTGCAGTCGCAAAGGGTTCAGCTTGCGCCATTTGGACAGCTGGGGTTGGGGAGAAGCAACTTGGTCATTCGTGCCCTCTGTCTGATTCTGTTCAACCGGTAGTTTCGCCTGAGGCGCTACCACCTCCAATGGAGGTTGTGAAGTCTTGCTCATCTCGTTTTGTTGATGAATCAGCCTGAAATGACGTTAAATTTCCGACACCATCATGTATCGAAACCCGCGTAGTGTGTTGTAGAGCGTCCCCGGCGTATATGATAAGAAGCACCAAGCTTCGTATCTCTCTGCTACCCAATGTTCTGCGAAGTTCGTCAAGTTAGTGAGCCATTACAATTGTTCTGTACGAACATGATGCCGCGCCACTCCGTTATCGTATGGTTTGAATGCCGTATTGACGGCCGATCAGACTGGAATATAAATGCGAAAATAGTGCTTACTTCTTTACTAAACCAGGAGACTCAGTATTATTGGCTGAGCCCGTTGATCAAGCCTCTCAAGCCGACTCCGTGGCTGATCATCGGTTCCAGATGAAGTTAACTAAGAATTGGCGCGATTTTGGCAATTGCATGCCTTGTTTATATGTATGGCGTCAATCGACAGCTTGAGACAGTGCCTGGGATGAATCCTGCGGCAGGTCAGTAACCGCCCACAAGTCATCATCAAACGGAAATGAATTGAGCAGTGGAGATACAGACCTGAAAGACAATGTCCAACTAATCGTGTGCTAAGTTTCTAACAGAGATATGGTTGTGCACTAGTCAATTGCAGGATTAAACGATGAATTGCCGAGGATTGTGATGATTTGGCCTGCTCAATATAGAAAATTCATCAGTTCTCGCGGAACTATTGATGAATGAGAGACTGGGAGTCGTACAATCAACTGGTATTGAGAATGAGAGTATGCAAGGGACGTCGCAGATATCATCCACTTGAGACTCACTGGATATTATTTATTCTCCCTTGTTCACGCTCTATTGTCCGAGTTAAATCACTGCACGATTATGGCCGGGGGAATTACGCATTTAGTAGTCAAAAAAAGCGTGATAATAACCCGGCAAACTATACCCGACGTGTCAAATCGGTATATTGGTAGGAGATAAATCATTGTTAAATCCGAGGTGATAAATTTCTTCCTCATGATTCCACGAGTTGGTTGTTAAGCAACAGCCAACAGCCACAGGCCCATATCTTGGAATGCCCGTTTTCCTGATGCGGGGAGGAGCTTGTTGCCTCCGTGTCACCGACTGGCCCTCGTATTCGTAATAGACACATAATGACATAGCACTAATGATCGGACAATCGGGCTCCGATAGTCCTCCTCCGACAAGGGGCTAAGCTTTTCCAGGTTAGCATTATCTGCGTTCTTCCTCTCAAGAGTCTCGAATATAAATACTTCGTAGTTGACCATAGAATAGTTTTTAACTATACGAAATGGAGCAGCGAGGAAAAAGGTGCGCCGAGGAAGAAGAGGGGAATAAGAACGCGTAGACATATGGTCTATCTCAAGCCATTTGCTCTACGGAGCAGTCACTTGGCTTGTTGTTTGCTTCCTTGAAGACATGAAAGACGCTAAAATTGATTGCATTCTAAAATATAAGACTAAGTCTTCACTATCAAACATAGACTAGTTCATTCGTAACTGGCATCAAGTTGCTGTCCCATTTTTAAGGGAAATAAGCAAGCCATCGACTGTCGAATGAGTACTTTCGTCGCCTTGAGCGAGACAGTCTCTCATTCTTCCACTTCCAGCGGCCAGCAGACATTTACCGTCTCTGGTCGGGTTGCGTTCACACTTGCATAGCGGGCGAAGGGTAGAAGCCCGTGGCCAACCGCTTAATGCGTTGTGTGGTGGGCGTTCCTTAGTTCCAAGGAACTCGAAAGACTTTGCCAAACTCTCCTTAATTGTCAAGGCTGATCTTGACATTCTTCTCTGGGCCTGGGATGACCTTGTCCTCCGCCTCACCCTTGAGGTTTGGAAGCTCAGAAACAGCCTCTGCGATGATCTTCAGTGCCTTCTGGATCTCTTCTTCAGTGATCACAAGAGGAGGAGCAAGGCGAATGATGTTCTGATGGGTTGGCTTGGCCAACAAGCCCTTCTCCTTCATCAGCATACAGAGATCCCAGGCAGTGTGTCCATTGGTCTTGGACTCGTCAATGACGATCGCATTGAGTAATCCCTTGCCACGAACGGTTTGGATAATTGGACTCCGGATAGCCTCCAGGCCCTTGCGGAGGACGTGACCGAGTTTCTCAGCTCTTTCAACCATGTGTTCCTCCTGAACGACCTCCAAGGCTCGGATAGCCACAGCACAGGCTAGAGGGTTACCGCCGTAGGTGGAACCGTGGGTACCAGGCTCAATGGTGAGCATGACGTCTTTGCGACCCAAGACACACGACACAGGGTACATGCCACCGGAAATAGCCTTGCCCAGCAGAACCAGGTCGGGCTTGATTCCGCTCCACTCATGGCAGAGCAGTTTACCTGTACGGGCAATACCCGTCTGAATCTCATCACAGATGAGCAGGACATTGTGCTTATCACACAGAGCTCTCGCCTCCCGCAGATAGTCATCGTCGGGAACGACAATGCCTGCTTCGCCCTGAATAGGCTCTACCAGGAAGGCGGCAAGGTTGGGTCCCGCGTTCTCAAAGGCCTCCCGCAAGGCTGCCTTGTCATTATACTTGAGGGGCTTATCGGTTCCAGGGATTGTGCATCCGATACCTGGCAGATACGGACCGTAGTTTTCGCGCGACTCGGGATCGCAAGACAGGGAAATGGCGGCGAACTAGATGAACAAGGCCGGTCAATCTATAATGATCGAGGAAACTGATTCTCGCGTGCACTTACAGTACGTCCGTGAAAGTTATTCTCCGCGCTCAGAACAACAGCTTGGTTCTCCGGAATGCCCTTAACCTTATAGCCCCACTTACGAGCAATCTTGATTCCCGTTTCCACGGCTTCTGCTCCTGTGTTCATGGGCAGAACCATGTCGAAACCAAAGTACTTGGTGACAAATTCGGCAAACCGGGGGAATACATCATTGTAGAAGGCACGGGAACTCAAGGTCAACCGTGAGGCTTGGTCGACAAGTGCAGCCACCAACTTGGGATGGCAATGGCCTTGGTTGACGGCAGAGTACGCTGACAGGAAGTCGAGGTAGTGGCGGCCCTCAGGATCCCAAACGGAGGTGCCCTGGGCACGAGCGAAGACAACAGGGAGAGGGTGATAGTTGTGGGCTGCGAACTCCTTCTCCGCCTGGATGGCCTCCTGCGTGGAGGACGCATGGTAAGAACTGGTTCCGTTGGCAGACATGCTGGCGGAAAGAAGAGAGGAGGTGAGCTTGAAAGAGATTGTTATTGATCAAGGATAATATGAAGTAAGATGATTCGAAGCTATAGTGAGGAGGACTGAGGAGGGTAGTAGAGGAAGATAAGGTGGGGAGGAAATGTCCGCTGAGCAGTCCGAGACGAGCAAGTTGCCGTCCTTTAATAGCACGAGGATGGGAAACACCTGTTAGAATTGAGCACCGTAAGAAAAGAAGGAAAAACGGCAGAAGAGCAAAGTGGTAGAAATCGCCATTCCAATCCGCAGCGTTTGAGACCCGCTGGTGTCACCTTTTTGAGGCGAGAGACATGGGCACCGAAGGAGGACTAGACCCCTAAGTGCAGGTTTACCCGCTATATATCGCTAAGTGCAGGTCTACGCGCTATCCCCAGCGACCATGATGTCGGTGATCCACCTTTCCTCCAGTCATCCAGTCAGCTTGCTTTCCACCTGACTTTATTCCTTCCTCGCCTGGCCGATCTGGGGCTTCCGGTTCGTCCATTTGTCCACTGGCGTCCGGTCCATTACTCATCGATTCCGCGCCTCCACTGCATGACCGGGGCGGATCCCATCGCTTTTTGCCGGCCCGGACACTTTGTCCTCTTGGCCTCTCTATTAGGCAGTTTATTGATTTTGTTACACTCCTGCTGGCATCGGAGGATATCGCGGGGTTAGATACGCCCTATGACATTTGCCTGCGACCATGTCCTCGTCGCGTCGAAGAAAGTCCTTCACGTCGTCCTCCTCTTCGTCGTCTCCGTCGTTTCACTCCCCACCGCCGACTTCGCGCCTGAGGCCGCGGTCTCCTCCATCAAATAATACCAAAACATCACCAACATCAACAACGCCGTTGGCAACCAATATCCTTCTGTTCTTAATCGCTTTTCGGCTGGTCAACGCATTTACTGTTCGCACCTTCTTCCAGCCCGATGAATTTTTTCAGTCCCTTGAACCTGCCTGGCAAATCGCGTTTGGAGAAAATCAGGGGGCATGGATAACCTGGGTTAGTGGAGTCGCATCCCCCAACATTATCCTGTGTAGCCTTGCGTCGCATTCATATTTGTTCCAACCAGTCACATCATTTCAGTTACTAATTTCTGGATACTGGATGTCACCAATATAGGAATGGAGGCATCAACTGAGGTCTTCCATCCATCCTCTCCTCTTCGCCGCTGTCTACTCCGCTGCCGATGTCGTCGCCCAGCTTCTCCGCCTCTCCCCCGCATCGCGTGCGGATCTTCTCGTCGCCGCTCCCAAAACTGCGCAGGCGATAATCGCGGGGCTCGGGGACTTTTATACTTGGAAGTTGGCTCGCTATGTCTATGGCGCTCGAAGTTACGAGGCCTGGGCTACTGTATGTTCATGTCATTGTTTGCCTAATTATCGATACGAGGACGGAGGTTGACTGTCGAAGCTTGCCTTGACGGTCGTTAGCCCATGGCAATGGTTTTGTTCGACCAGGACATTGTCGAATTGCCTCGAGACAACGATTACCATTGTCGCTCTCTACTTGTGGCCCTGGAGTTGGTCATTTGAGACACCGGTTCACAAGAAGGCTACTCGCGCGGCCAGCAGGGAGCGTGCCCAGAGGGGTCCAGAGGTGTCAGACCCGCTACAGAGGTATGGTGGACGTCCATTTGATCTATACATATCTCACACGGCAGCGTAGGCTACGTCAATGCCTGTCCCTAGCGGCTGTCGCCTGTATTCTACGACCGACTAACATCCTCATCTGGATGACTTTGGCCATTGTCGCATGGTTTCGAACTTCTTGGGACCGGAGGGGGATTCTTGTTCGCGAAATATTGCTTTATGGGTGAGTTGGTATTGCCAGGCAGACACGTTGCGAAATGATAGCTGATAAGCTCATAGATGTACCGTTCTGGGTTTGTCGTCCGTGATTGATCGGCTCTTCTACGGAAGCTGGACCTTTCCTCCTTTGAGATTCCTGTATTTCAACATTGCACAGTCTCTAGCGGTCTTCTACGGGAGAAATGACTGGCATTATTATATCTCGCAGGGGTTTCCCCTTTTACTTACCACCGCACTGCCGTTCGCTCTCGTTGGCCTGTACCGCGCTCTGGCCCAAGTTCGAACGTTCGGATTGGGGCACTTGCAGTCTCTTGTGCAAGCTCAGCTTGCGCTGATATGCGTGGTTATGCCTTTTGTCCTGTCCCTGGTTTCTCACAAGGAAGTGCGATTCATCTATCCGCTTCTACCATCTCTCCACATCCTTAGCGCACCACCTCTGGTGGACTACTTCCTCCCTGCGGTCCTCCGCTCGTCCCGATCATATATGCCCAGGAGGCTCACCCTCGTCTTCCTATTGCTGGTCAATATCGTTATTGCCCTCTACACGACCATCTACCACGCATCCGGACCGTCCAATGTCCTTTCATACCTCCGGCAACAGCACGAGCTACATGCCCCGGCCGCTCAAACTCCTTCGAACCTCAGGCCCTCAGTCAAAGACCCCTCCCAGCACGGAATCACAGCCGGCTTCCTCATGCCCTGCCACAGCACCCCCTGGCGTTCCCACCTCGTCTACCCCACAATCCACGCCTGGGCTCTAACCTGCGAGCCTCCCGTTGACCAAACCGCCGCCCAAAAAGCCACCTACATAGACGAAGCAGACCAATTCTACGCCAACCCCGCCCAGTTCCTCCGCGAGCACATGGCCGGCGGCCTCCGCCACATCTCTCGCAAACCATCCTACATCTCCGCGCAACCACACCCCCAGCAGCCGCCGAATACAAACACCAACCACACCATCCACGAATGGCCCGACTACCTCATCTTCTTCGCGCAGCTCGAGCCAACCCTCCAATCCCTCCTCCGCGCCAGCTCCTACGCCGAATGCTACCGCACCTTCAACACAGCCTGGCACGACGACCAGCGTCGCAAAGGCGACATCGTAGTCTGGTGCCTCGACCCCGCCCAACAACAGGCCTGGCGATCCGCCACCCGCCAACGCGACCTCGAGAACCGCGAGAGACAATTCGACCGCATCATCGAGAGTTTTCGGAAAGAAGCGAGCGGGAAGCGCGATGGCAAGCTCTCGCCGTTCCGTCGGTGGTTTTCGTCTTCTTCTTCTGTTGCCCCGTCGTCTTCGCTCTCTGTGTCGTGGCCGTCGTCGTGGCACTGGCCGTGGGGCCAGCGAAAGCGGACGTCCTGGTTAGGTGTGCAGATTCCGCAGTGGACAAGGACACGGTCGTCGTGGACGGCTTGGGGAGGGGACTGGTTCGGGAACTGGAGGCAGAAGAAGAAGACTAAGAAGCTTCTCGAGCGGGATCTGTGGTCGTAAGAGTTGTATTTTATCAGTTGGTCAACTTGTTGGAAATACGTACATGTGATACCTCCTGGATTTCTGGATCTTATTTATGTACTGTCCCTGTAATATCAATGGAACATAGCAAACTTGGATCGATCTGTAGGAAGTGTCCCCTTTATAGACGACGGTATCCATTTTGTCCCTGGATTCTACTATATACTCTTGCTGATGTCCAGCTGTAACGTAGCATACACCGAGCTCAACAAGGCCCGCAATCTTCATTCTAATGCCAAAATCACAAACGCCAGCCAATGATGCAACCAATTGTTCACCATTACGTTCGCCAAGATCAGATACAGTAGATGAATATACACAGAAGAAAATATTTTCAGAGCGCCTTCAGAAACAGGGCTGTTGGGAGAAACAGCTACCGGTAACGGGCGCTCAGATTGGCAAAGGCATCGGGGCTGTGCCGTCCGCTCTGGAAGCCGTTGATATCTACACTCTGCTGGCTCATGTGGGTCCTGGGGAAATTGCCATTCAGCTGAGAGGCTTTTGGGGTCAGGTCCATCCCAGCACCGGGGCCGCCTTGCCCACCCATGAAGGGATTCCGAGACCCGGCTAACTGGGGGGCAGCAGAGGCCTGTGGGCCGTTGTTCTGGTGTTCGCTGATACTTGGCATTGGCTGGTTTGGGGGCGCTTGGTTCAGCGACATTCCCGTCGGAGCTTGCATTTGAGAGGGCTGCTGCATCCCGGATGCTTGTGCGGAGGATGTATTGTACAGAGAAAGGATGCTGCCCTTATCCACGCGGCCTGTGGGCTGAGGAGCCATGTACTGAGTAGGCTGCTGCATCCCGGCCTGTAGTTGTGGCTGATATTGGTGTTGATAGACCGCATTCTGTGGTGTATTTGGCGCTGCCATCGACTGGAATGGATTCTGGGATGCAAAGCCCTGCCCCTGCAAATGTGGTTGATTCTGTAAGAATTGTTGTTGCTGCGGCTGCTGCTGCTGTTGGTAAGAACCCTGGCTAAAGGGCGATGTGGAGGACAATGCTGGCATGGTGTTCGCATGCTGGGGCGGATTGGGCAGTGCACCTCCAGAGACTGATTGTGGTTGTGACTGCATTGAGTTCGCCGCCGCTCCGAACTGGCTGAAGAAGGGGTTTGTTTGAGCAACGCCAGGGCTCTCGGTGAGCGGTGTGCTAGTGAATGGTGCTTGCGGCTGGGTGCTGGACTGGAAAAATGGGTTTTGGCTTCCGTCGAACGCTTGTGGGGATGAGATGTATGTGCCTTGTGATTGAGTCGAGGTGATAGGAGGTGTAAGAGGGTGCTGGTAAAGGGGCTGAGGAAGCGAAGCTTGACGACCAGGATATCCTCCGGTTTGGTGCGGGAATAACGGCTGCGAAACTTGTAAATGCTGGAAAGACCCCTCGAGAGACTGTACAGGGGCAGGCGCAGGTGCGAGTTGCTGTTGTGCTTGTGACGTTGGCATATCGAACGGATTATACGCGCTGCTCGTCTGGGGGGAGGGTTTGGAGTCGAGCAGGTCGAACGGATTGGCGGAACTGTCCCCTCTAGTAGAATTGTTTGTGGGGTTGCCAGCTGCCGAAGGCCGTCCCAGCGATGCAGGCCCTTCCCCTAATCTCTGCAAAGTCTCGATGGTCATTTTCAAGTTACCGTCGAGACCTTTAAGGGCCGCTGCGTTTCGACGCTCGTTGGTGAACCCCAAATCTCTCAGCTGGGCCAGCTTCGACTCAAATGATGCGTCACTTGTATCACGGACGGAAAGTCCAAATCCTTGAGAGCCGGAAGTGGAAACGCTTCGTGGTGGAGGGGAATCAGGTCTTTCGGATCGAGGTGAGGTCGCAAAGGGTCTGTTGGACGACCGCTGGAGGTTCGAGGTAGAGGAAGCGGATCTCAACCCAGGGCCCGGAAACCGGCCAGATTTTGGAGGTAGTGGAGGGGGTGACCCCTCCGGCGATATGTCGTAACTGGAATCATGACGGCTTGGTGGTTTCGGTTTTCCATCCTCCAGGGAACGATACTGGTATTTCTGCCGGATGTACCGCTCCATGCTAGAATCGGCCTCGTCGATATCTTTGGGGACCGGAGGTTTGACGTTCTTGGGATTGAAGATCTTGTTCATGAGGGTATTTCCGTGTGATTTCATGTTCTGTGCCCCATAGACAATCAGCTCGCGCCTCCTCACGTTGTTGAACCGATCACTCACATCAACTTGTTCGGCCGTCCAAGTGTCCATGGTCAAGGACTTGACCTTGGAAATGTGTGTGCCCAGCTTACGATGCAGAGCTGCGCACCGCATACATAAGAAGATTCCCATCTGTATTTCATCGGATCAGCTATCGTAAAAAGTGGCGGTAAGTCGTGTGCAACCGAGTCATATACGTACATTCCAGCTGGCCCATCCTGTGTGCAAGTGGCTTGTCAGCGATTGGCTTGCAGCTATATACAGGTCTCTAAGAGCATACCTGGGTTGAAGGCTCCACAGTCGGCACATCGATCATTGCCCGGTACTGAGCGGATGAGATCCTGCAAGGCTTTCTCATTTCGTTGCTGCTGCCGCTTACTGACAATGCTGGGCATCTTGGTAAAATCCGGAGAGTCCGCCTGGCCGTCTCTTTGTTGACGAAGAGTAACTAACAGAAGCCGAGGGTTTCAAACGTCCAAGGAAGAGATGGACTAGGTTGGGAACAGACAGAAGCTATTCACGAACGATGGAGGAAAAGTGACAGAGGCCGGGCCGATCTTCCGTATGCGGGAGATAGTGGGATCTCAAATAAAAAGACAAAACATATTTACACAATATGAATGGAAGGCTCAAACAAGAAGAGTTCCAAGAATACAAGCAATGCGAGGGCCGAAATCGTCGGAAGAGATGTTAAGGAGGGGGATGAAGCGCAGAAGTTCGATAGTCCAGGAGAAGTAAGAGAGAAAGCGAAGTGGTCAGGGATGATAAGATGGTAACGGTGTGGGGAAGACAGACGACAGTCACCGCATCGATTTCTCTCAGCTCTTGAGCATATTAGATAGACATGCTTTGACCTTATGGATTTGATATCTATATCCTGATATTTCTGGAGCTATACGGAGTAATTAGAGGGACAATGGCTTTTTTTGCCGTTGATTGTTGGGCAGCATCTAAACTGTCTCGTGGAGGACTGCACATTCCAGCCTCTGGTATGGATCCCCTAGTCAAGACCGCGCCAGGGGCAACCGACTTGAACCAACTTTCGAGTCTTGACTACAGTAAAACCTCGTTATAACGAGATATTCCAGACATTCCAAATTTCTCGTTATAACGAGGTTCTCGTTATATCAAGGATATATATAATTTAGCCTGTAAAATAGCTTCGAATATCTCGCTGAGTCTGTAGGCTCAGCTTTCGACCCCAAAGGATACGCTCATGCTTATCTAGCTCATATATAAGGCTAGGAATGCCCTCTGCCTGCTGCTCCTCATATAAACGAAGTGTTCTTAGTGCTTCCAATGCCTGATCAAGTGATATTTGTGGTAGAATTTCAAGCTCCTCCTCAGAATCATCATCAAGCTCTGGCCCATACTGAGCTAGAATCTGGCTCTCAATATCTTCAGGAGTATCCTGGACAGCTTCCTCTGCAGGGTTCAGAAAGGTATCAATATCCATTAGGTCCTGGATAGGCGTAGAGAGCTTAAGAAGAGAGAAAGCATTCTGTATATCATCCAGAACTGCTGGATCGACAGGCTCTCGATATGATGGTTGAGAATCTAGTGCCTTTTGAAAGCAATTCTGGATTACCTGCCCAGAAAGATCAAATTCCCAGCTCTGGATTCCCCATCGAACCGCTCGTAGAATGTTCATTGACGCAATTGGATCACGATTAAGCTCAAACTCTTGAAGGATGAAGCGAATCCAGTATCGTTTCCAGTATGACTTCCAACAGTGGATAATCCCTTGATCAGAGGCTGGTATCGGCTGGTAGAGTTCGCAGGAAGCCATATAATAAGAGTATTCTGTAGTGGATAACCACTAGATTGAATCTCTGTTACAGCAGCTTGATGAGCAGAGAGTATCCATAAGAAGGACAACATTCCGTCCACTCATCTGCTTATCAAACCAACGAAGAAAGTCTGTAAATATTGATGTTGTAATCCAGGCTTTCTGGTTACTCCGCCAGATAAGATTCAGATTCCGTATATTAACACCAGCAGCTTGGAAAGCTCGTGGATTCTTCGCTGTACCAATAAACCATGGTAATAGCTTCTCAGAGCCATCCGCATTGCAACAAAAGAGGGCCGTTATCCGTGCTTTATCTTTCTTTCGACCTGGAAGTTGACGTGTTGAAAGACTCCGTGCAGGAGACCGCTTCCAGAAGAGGCCAGTCTCATCACAGTTAAACTGGTCCTTAAGGCTATACGCACTTAAGACTTGTTTAATCTCAAGCATCTCTTGATCTGCCTGAGCTGGAACACTTCCCTCCTCTCCATGATGTCGATACCATCTTACTGACCTCCTTGTCTGGAAGTTATGAAGCCATCCATTACTGAAAGTTGGCATCTCTTGCCCTGGGTAGATCTTCTCCCAAAAAGACTGAGCCTTTTGTCGAATAATCTCTGCAGAGATAGGTATTTGTTCCTCCACACGTATTATCCACTCAAATAAGGCGTTCTCTAGCTCTGGCCAGTTCTCACGGCGTTGGCGCTTTGCATCGCGGGTAGGGAGGGAATCGGCATCAAGATAGTCGTATTTGCGGGATAAGATATCAGAGATGAGACCAGATGAAAGAGTATGATCGTAGGTCTCCTGAAACCATTTGCGAAGGTCTTTCTGTGTTGCGTTTGGATGGAGGCGTTTTTGGGCTCGCAAAGCAGCCTTCTGGGACGTTGAGATAGGCTTCCTCTGAGGCATATTAGCTAATAAGAACCCCTTGATATAACGAGATTTTGTATGGGAGATAAGGCAAAGTTAACGAGACTCGCTGTAGCGAGGGATCTCGTTATTTATATGGAGAATTAATTGAAGCAAGGAAAAAATCTCGTTATATCGAGGTTCTCGTTATAGCGAGGCTCGTTATAACGAGGTTTTACTGTATTTGACTGCCAAGCACATAAAATGTCTGTGACCGTCTCTTGATTTTCTCAATTCCCTCACAATTTACTCCGTATTTGAGCCCAATGTCCACTGGTTGTACGGCTGTCAGATAGTCTCCACAGCCATGGATAGATACCACATGCCTCTGGCCGGCGATATGGACCGTCTCAAGCGAAGTTGGAGAGAACTCAAACTTGCATCATCTCGTCACTATAGAGGAAAAACTACGCTTCACACTACGAATATCATACCATGATAGTTATGATAGAATGTATGAGCAGCAGGTGACTCACCCCACCATCGCACTCAGAGTCTCGGAAGAAACTCCAGCACGGTAGAGGAGCCTTATTATGCCCCGAAATATTTATTCTAGTACGCCAATATGACCTACCAACCTGTAGGAAAAACTAGGATTTGGAGGTTGATTATGCGTTCGTAGTTTCATGAAAAGTGTAATGAGGAAAAAAAGAAGAAAAGAGAGGAAATTGTTGTGTGGAGGATGAAGAATATAAAGGGAACGCGGGCAGTGCGTCACGTGCTATGTGGGCATAGCACTAGTATACGCTAAATCAGGTGACCTCTATTGTGAAAGTTGTCATATTTTTTCTTTCACCTCTTCCTTCTTTCTCTTCAACAAAACACTCATCAAAGGGACAATTCGCATAATGCGAACTGTGCCATGCTCATTGATGTATGAGCTATTGCCTGTAGTCTCAATGCAAGACTCGATGTCTTCTCCTCTGTACTCTGTACCAATGTTGTTATAACCACACAGCACGCGTCTAGTCTCTCAATGGCCAAGTCGTATGCTTTTTATTTTGTTCGTTCAGTGGAAGATCAAAACCAAACAGTTTTTAGCAGAGCTGCGTCTACTCCACCCTGGTGTTCGTCTTTCTCGAACGGCAGGACTTTTTTACGACGGACATCCTACCTTTGTTATATCATAATGAGAGTATCAATGCGAACCATATTGTTCCCTATGTGAACATCCTGTAGGGAGTTACTTGGAAGCATATTGGGTCTCAAAATAGAAAATAGAACCTCTCGGCTTTCTGCTCATGAAGACAGCAATACAATGTAATAGCTTATCTAGTTCCGGTTGCATTGATCTAAAAGAGGTTTTGCCGACGCATGATGTCTAAACCATAGTCCGTCGCCTTCATCAACTGGTTTCCAGTGTGGTACAGGTACCATACATAGTATCATGCCGGTCTATCATAACCGATTTCTAAGATTCTTGATAATCAGCATACTCGAGTCGATGTGATGAATATTTTTTGTGACCTGTTCAATCATCCATTTGGATTGATGATAAATCGCAGCCAGTCTCGAACTTAGGAGTGAGATTTTTGAGGAAGCAGAACAGGGACACCAATGAAGAATGAGCATGAGAGGGAGAGTGGAGATCGGAATCTGCCGCGGTTACTGAGACCGAGACTCATGAGACTCTCTGCCAAAGAGCGTGTTCCTGTTAATAATGTTATGAAGCTGCTAGGATCCGCCCGACGAGCCATCTTCGGCTATCATCGTTGCTAGTACAACCGATTGTTAACGAACTCGATCTTTGTTCTGACAAAAGGATAATGGTATCAACGCAAGCAACAGTAGGTCTTTCAAAGGAATGATCAGATGTATCTCAGGTGCAGGAGGCAAATGAGGATAGGGAGCCATGGGTCGGCTTATTGCCACGGCCATTCATGATCGATATCCCCCTCTTAGGCTTGGTCTATCTATCTGCCTTATGCCAAAGAAAAGCAGAACCTCTGGGAAAATGCGGAGAGAATATCTGCTGAGTCAAAAGAATCGGGTCCAGAGCTCACAAATCTGTGTATCATGATTGGTGCTTACGGCTCCTCCTGGGGCTTCGATGGGCTTCGGCGTTTCTGTAGTCTAGGGAGGAGGAGCGGCAGTAGAAGGATGAGGGGATATTTCTTATGCAATGGGAAGAGCTGCTGCACTTTATTAGTAGCTAGTTATCCCTGCCCTCCTCCTTATCCTCCCCTCTCCCTTTGTCAGATTTCACTCTGTTCTTTTTGAATTGACTTTTGTATATTAGAAAGTATCTATCCCTCTTCCTGTCCTTCCTCCGCAATCAATCGAAAGCTCATTTATCCCTACACATTCCTTTCCGGCGCGTCCTCTACTTCACAATGGCTTCGGCTGCTAGATCTGCTTCGCGCGCCTTCTTGCGCTCCACTCCTGCTACCTCCTCCTTCCGTCCTGCTGTCCGCGCCGCTCGCTTTGCTCTCCCATCTCAGGGCTTCCGCGCCGCTGCTCGTCGTGGCTATGCCTCCGAAGCCAACTCGGGCAAGTCCTCGTCCAACGTCTTCCTCTGGGCTGGTCTCGCCGTGGCTGGTGGTGCCGGTGCATACTTCTACCTGAACGGCAGCGACTCCGTTACCTCCAAGACCTTTGTTCCTGGTAAGGAGGACTACCAGAAGGTGTACGACGCCATTGCTCGCCGTCTCGCCGATGAGACCGACTATGACGATGGCAGCTATGGACCAGTAAGTCTTTTCCGCTTGTCAATGAAATACATGGGCGATGAACAGAGTGCTGACTTCCGGTGTTTTGATAGGTCCTCGTCCGTCTGGCATGGCATGCAAGTGGTACCTATGACAAGGAAACCGGCACTGGAGGAAGCAACGGCGCTACCATGAGATTCGCCCCCGAGTCCGACCACGGTGCCAACGCTGGCCTCAAGATTGCTCGGGACTTCCTCGAGCCCATCAAGGCCCAGTTCCCTTGGATTACCTACTCCGATCTCTGGACTCTGGCCGGCGCCTGCGCCATCCAGGAACTGGGTGGTCCCGCCATTCCCTGGCGCCCTGGCCGTCAGGACAAGGACGTAGCCGGCTGCACCCCTGATGGACGTCTCCCCGACGCTTCCAAGGACCAGAGGCACATCCGCGACATCTTCTACCGCATGGGATTCAACGACCAGGAGATCGTTGCTCTGATCGGTGCCCACGCTCTGGGCCGTGCTCACCCCGACCGTTCTGGCTACGACGGCCCCTGGGACTTCAGCCCCACCGTTTTCACCAACGAGTTCTTCCGGCTGCTTCTTGATGAGAAGTGGCAGAACCGCAAGTGGAACGGCCCCGCCCAGTTCACTGACAAGACCACCAAGACCCTGATGATGCTTCCCGCCGATCTTGCCCTAGTCAAGGACAAGGAGTTCAAGAAGCACGTCGAGCGCTATGCCAGGGACAACGACGCCTTCTTCAAGGATTTCTCGGACGTTTTCGTCAAGCTTCTCGAGCTTGGTGTCCCCTTTACCAGCAAGGCTGAGGACCGCTACGTCTTCAAGACCTCTGAGTAAGGAATTTCACTGTTGACTTACATCTCTTTTCATTTCCTGGATAGCACTGCATTTCTGGTTTGTTCGTATCTTGATATCCGACATGTGATTTGTCGTTTTCTGATGGCCATGTCCTTGTGTGACGCTTGATTTACTCTGAGAAGCTTGGGCGACGAGTTGGAGCATGTCATATATTGGGTTATAAACTGTACTTGTGCCAATAGACATATTCCTAGCATTAACCATACCAAGAAGATTTGGATTCTGTTGCATATTCTGAATTTGCCTGAAGTGCGAAGCGCGTAGCCTGCATTCATTGTAAGATGTTCATGTTGCAGCTGGCAAGAACACAGTCAGATACGGCGGAACCACTTCAAATCAAGAGGTGGCGGTAACCCGACATCGCATTTTTTGATCCGACTCAACATCCGCGGGCTCCATCCCGCTCACCTTTTTCACTCCATTCCACGATTAAGAAACACTCATGCCTGAGTAACGGTACCTCGCCTCTTCCCTTCTCAATTACTACCACCAGCCCAGAGCACCGCCCACAGCATGACCAAATCCCAGACCCCGCGACACGATTACTACGAAATCCTCAACCTCCCATTCACAACTCCCCCAACAGCCTTATCCAAACAACAACTCAAAGTCGCATACCACAAAGCTCTCCTGAAACATCACCCGGACAAAGCGACTTCAATCGCAGCCACTCCCGCACCCACACGCGACACGAAAACCGCCCACCGCCCGAGTCCCGACCGCAACGCTGATGCCTCTCCGACATTCACCATTGACGAGATAACAGCGGCTTACAAGACGCTTTCTGACTCTGCCCTGCGGGCGGAATATGACCGTGTCCTCCGGCTTGAGCGGGTGACGGCGGGGAAGGGGGAGAAGGGCGCGGGGGCGGCGTTTCATACGGGTCTTGAGGTAGTTGATTTGGAGGATCTTGTATGCGAGGAGACGGGCGATGGGGAGGGGCTACTGTGCTGGTATCGGGGATGCCGGTGTGGAGATGAGAGGGGGTTCATGGTTACCGAGAGGGATTTGGAGAAGGAGGCTGAGCATGGGGAGGTTGTGATCGGGTGCCGGGGATGTAGTCTCTGGATGAAGATTTTGTTTGCGATGGAGGAGGGCGATGGTTGAGCTTGGATGTGTTGGAGATTGGGATTTGAATTGGGATTGGCTATATGGTCTGTCTTTGCCCTGGTCGTTGGAGATCGAGGCTATATACTCGCTGGCTGGCCCTGGATGGGATTAAGTCTTCGGCAGAGGATTGAAAGGCACGATCGAAGTGTCACGTTCAGAGTCGTCGGCTTGTTCCAGCTTTGTCAGAACAGTCGTCACGCATCACGACTCTGGCGTCGCTCAGAGAGCTTGCTGGGTATAGAGACCTGGTGGCTCCTGTACAGAGCATTTGTACCAGTGCGGGACAGTTGGCCTCTGTCCCCACGTTGGACAGTGTTTGAGGGATGGCTGTTACGTGTAGGACGCTCATATAAATCTCTTTGCGTCTATGCGACATTCTTATGGAATGGAGGATGAAGTTGCTCCATGAGTTTCATGAGCTTATGAGTTGGTACCAGTATGAATTCGAGGAATGATTTTATATATAAATTAGCATGGCCGCGACTATAAGCAGTCGTTAAAATTACAGGTTCAATCAGGGTCATCAATCAATCAGGCCCAATATTGCCATCTAGAGCTAGAGACAAGCTCCAGACTAATGTCATGCATTCCTGGACTACAAGCATTGCTGGTGCTGTCGGCGATGTTGTGGAGGGGCTCAGCTGATGACATATTTGGTCCAAAACAGAAAACCACCATATCCCTCTTTCCCACTGTCAACATCATCCTTCCTCCATTCATCTTCCTAGCTGGTCAGATTCCGCCGCCATAATGTCGGGACCTGTTCACATCTCCTCGAAGGAGCAATTTTCCACGCTTCTATCAAGTTCCAAGTTTGTCATCGCAGACTGTAAGCTCCCTGTTTCCTGATTCCCCGCCCGCGACCGCGAGCTTAGGCATACTCATCCCCGTGCTACGGACAGCTACTGACTAATTCCTCAAAGTTTACGCAGACTGGTGCGGACCATGCAAAGCTATCGCCCCCGCGTACGAGCAGCTGGCCAAACAGCTTTCGCGCCCGAACCGGATTACCTTCACCAAGGTCAACGTTGACGAGCAGCAAGACATTGCCCGTGCATATGGAGTTACAGCGTACGTCAAACACATTCGACCAGCCACACCTGGCCCAGATTCCGAGAAACGCATAGATACTAACAGTCTCACCAGAATGCCCACCTTCATCGTTTTCCAGCAAGGCCGCCCCATCTCCACCGTCCGCGGCGCAGACCCCAAAGCCCTCTCCGACGCCGTCCGCAAGCTCGCCGACGAAGCAAACAAGAACGACACCTCCGCCTCCGGCGAGGCCTCGGGTGATCTCAGCGGCGGAAACGGCTGGATCGGCGCCGCCGTGCCCAAGGGATACAGCGATATCACGGACCAGCACGACCCCAAGGGCCTGGAGCTGCTGAACCGGGATAGCGACTTCGGCACCGCGAAGACGCTTTTCGATCCGTCGAAGCCGTCCGCGCTGAGTGACAACGGGAAGAGGAAGGAAGGCGCCCCCGCGGACTGGGTGGAGAGTGATACCGACGAACAGCTGATGCTTTTTATTCCGTTCCAGTCGACGCTCAAGGTCCATTCGCTGCAGGTGACTTCTCTTGCGTCTCCGTCGGAGGAAGACGACGAGGCCCCGATGCGTCCGAAGACTATTCAGCTGTACACTAACCGCTCGCATGTCCTTGGCTTCGACGAGGCGGATGACATCACGCCGGTGCAGACTGTGACGATTCAGCCTGAGGACTGGGATCCCAAGACGGCGACCGCGAAGATAGATTTGCGGTTTGTCAAGTTCCAGAACGTCACGTCCTTGGTTCTCTTCTTCGTTGATGGGGATGGGGACAGCGAGAAGCTGCGCGTGGATAGAATCAGGATCTTTGGCGAGGCTGGCGAGAAGAGAGAAATGGGCAAACTTGAGAAGATTGGAGATGAGCCGGGCGAATAAGCTCTGCCATGAGTTGCAAACCCGGTATTCTGTACGGAGGACAAGTGTCGGACATAGCATACGAGATTAGATTTACGACCTTCGATGACTTCAGAGAAAACAATTCCCAAAACATTCTTTTCATTCGCTAATCGCTAATCGCTAATCGCTACGATTCTATCGCAATCCCACATGAGAGAAAAGTGAAGTTTGTCCGATCCCAAACCAAATGGTCTCATCCTTGATAAAATTCAGAAAGACCAATAAAGTAGAACCGGTGTGCAATTCCGTCGCTCTGTGACACAACTGACACCTGGGATAACATCACGAGAATCGATGTCCAGGCAACACGGGTGAAATAGTAGTTGCGTCGCCGCACGAAGAAAGAAAAGAAAAAGAAAAAAGTAAGAATGCTGGCTGGCTGCGACGAAATTTATCCTTGTGCGAGATTCGGATGATGGAGATACTGTTTTTCCGCTTGAGGCTGGAAGTATGGGTATTAATTACATAATCGGGGTTTCTGTGTGGGTTGCGAAATGCCAAGCGAGTAAAGTGCATAGAAAATTTTCCCTCCTTCTCTTCTTCCTTTTGTCTTCTTCAGACAAAGCCTGTGATGAGACAATTGGATGAATATATGATAGGAAGAGACTGAGTCTCCCTCTGGGAGCATGATCTCAACACTACATCCACTGAGGCTGTCGCATTTACCTGTTATTTCTGGTGGTAGATAGTGCTCGTTCGAGGACTGTTTATTTAGTGTCTACGCGTTTGGTCGTGCTCGACGTGTACCCCCAGTAGGAGGAACAATACTGTTGTCCTTTTGTCTAAGCATGACCTGGATGGTACAGGGAGCAAGGATTTATGGCCTGCTTCTACGCGGCTGGTCGTTGGATTCTTGAGTACCTGCAGATGCAGCCTTCGGCACAGTCGACAGGGTTTGGCTGCTGTGTGGTATTGTTCATGTAGGTTAGCATAAGCATTTCCATGAACTAGATGGTCTTGTGCTGTGTTGCCATCTTGGACTTCTTAATAAGCCTGCGTGTATGTAAGAAGTTGGACAAGGTCCATGGTTCCCATGCACTCTCTTGCGTTTAAGGTGCAGGCTTGCTCACCGCGGCAGGGCCATATTCAGCAGTAGATGTCCCGAAGGTACTCTGATTTGATACCCGTGTGTTAGACTACGTGGCAGGCGCTGAGGCTTGATTCTCACGGTAGCTCTTCCCCACAGCACCCAAAGTCTCGAGCAGACTATCAAGCACGGGCGAGGAGTCAAGGACACACCTTGGTCACTGCTCCGGGGTCATTGCGCAATACTCAGTAAGCACAGCGCACCCTTTGGAATGTCCTCGTGTTCTGTGCTATGATTCGGATTAGTCTCCAATGATTTCCACTTCGACCCATGGAACCGCACAGCCACTATGGTCTCGTGCTGAGGGATCTGCCAAGGGAAATACCTCATACGCTTATCGCTTCTCTCCTCAGATCGCTCCTCGACCGACCATCTGCTGTGCAGTTCGGCATTAGGCCGAGCAGCAGTGACAGAAGGATTTGGTTTCTGTCTAGCAAAATGACAGTATCTAGATTCGGGAGCCAGTGGTTGGGAGGACTTCCGAACCAGGATCGGACGTCGATCAGGAACAAGGGTTTGAACTTGGGAGACGGCGTCAATCAAGTCCCAAAGGAGCGAAAGCACATCGTATCATCGCATCTCTTTCCAGCTCCAGACCAATGACCGTTCCAATTGTCTCATGCATGGTCCCTTTGGCGACCCACGCCTTCGAAACTCGATTGGAGCATCGCGGTCTGACGGAGAAACACCGCAGCAGATTAGCCTCTGAGCTTCTCGGCCAAACACTCAAAGGCGCCAAAGGGGTATTTTGGAATGTGGAGTAGCGCGGTATTGAATCCTTCCAGATAGAGTTCACACCTGGATTTGTCGGGATCGCGCTATTTGAGATGGCCTATCCTA